GCTCCTGGACAAGGAGCCCTGGAGCAGCCAAACACCCAAGGTCAGTGTTTGTGCTGTGAACTTTGAACTTTAGCTCAACTTTCACTCGTTGTAAACGTGCAGAAGGGATGACCCCGTGTGTGTGTCTCAGTTCATAGACTGGCTGCTCAGCATCATGGAAGCTCCTGAGCAGAGCGTGTCAGCATCAACGGCCAGCACAGCCAAAGGTGAACAAAGCAGCCTTTTTCCTACTTACACACTGGAATATTTCACTCTGTTTGAACCGCATGGCAGCAGTACCCACAGACTGCCTCCATAAAGTACTTAATGAAATCAAACCAGTGAAATCCTGTTTGAACACAGTTGAGCTGGATTTAAATCACACCTAAATGAACAGTTTAATTAGATTATTATTATTACTGTCCTTGTGCAGGTCTCATTGAAATTGAGACCTGGCCTGAGTTTTGTCAGGTTCTTACATCCTCCAGGTAAAAACTTCACTATAAAGCCAAAAGCACTCACCTCCCCAAACCACTGAGTGCAGGTGTTCAGTCACTTCTGTGGCCACAGGTGTAAAAGCCCGAGCAGCCGGGTGTTTGGTAGCGTCTACAGCATGTGCTGCTGATAGGATGGCACCTGAACACAAACTCCAGCTGAGGTGACAGAGTGGAAGCAACTGGGAACGACAGCATCTCTGCTGTGGAGTGACAAAGGGCGGGGTTGTTGTTTCTTCTTTACTGGTTTTGCCCCAGAAGCTAAAGCTTCGTGGTAAAGCCTGTATGTTCGGGTCTCCTTGTGAAATGCATCGTGTGTTTCATGGACTGGTTCTTATACAGCACTGTTCTTCTCTGAGTGGTTTATACTCATCCACGCACGGCTTTCTGTGCTTACATCGCACTGCTGTGGATGCAAATGTGTGTGTTCAGGTTAGAAGCCTGAATTTCAGCTCAGACACATGCAGTTTGTAGTTTCTGCTGAAATGTTTCCGTCAGTGATCACAGAGACAGAACAGTCCAACCAATCATGGCCTCCATGAACCTGGTTGTGTCGGAGCTCCTCCCTCACCACGTCCTCAGACAGGGTCGTTGGACTGTTAGGGTTTCTCTGCACTGCTGCAGGTTATCTCACAATATCACGTTACCATAGAGGGGGACTGTTGTGATTCGGCTCTATATACACAGCTGCAGTGATGTTTGTTAGCAGTAATTGTTTTTGGCCAAACGAGCTTCTGCTAACAGGCCTCATCTGTGGCCGTCTTTACATGAGAACTAAGGCACCATGTTTATTGACACTCAGCTGACAGCACTGTTGGAAAACAAGGTGTGGAAAGAGCAGGCATTACTGTAATCAGATTACTTTTTCCAGTAACGAGTAAAGTAAGGGATTACTATTGCAAAAACGGTAATTAGATTACTGTTACTTTCCCGTAGGAACGCTGCGTTACTGCGTTACTAAAACCGTGATTTTTTTTTGCAAGAATGTCTCATGACAGTGACGTAAGCGAGTGCGTCGTTCGTGACAACAGCTGTGTGCAGATCAACAATGGATCACATATGATTGTGGGAGAGAGTATGAGCGTGCAGCGTTTAAAGCGTGGAAGTACTGACCTTACTTTGAGTTTGATTCCATAAAAAGGGACAAAAACATTAGTGTCCATCGTGCGTGGGAAGAAAACTTCTTTTTACAGCAAAAAAAACCCCTAAACTTCAGAGTAAACACCGAGCAGCTACTGTAACCGGTGTGCTCCTGTGCTGTGTCTGACGATGAAAGGTAAAAGAAAGACCTCCAAGTAAATAGCTTTCCCGCTCCAGCTCCTATGACCAAATACAAACAGTAACAGGAAGAGGGTTAGCTCAACCCACCACAACTTCCAAGCTAGCAAGGATGATCTATTCATGCGTTCACGTTCCCTAGAACACATCTGTGGCACACACATGCTACACATTTATAGCATCTAACAAAAACAGGCATAATGATGACGATAACCGAACTAAAATTGCAATCAGAAACATCAGGGTGGCTAAATATGCATTATATGTGTGTTTTACAGTGTTGGAAAGAAATGACACCCAGCGCTCCCACAGGGGGATTGTAGAAAAGGGGAGGGGCCAGAGGGGTGCACTGTATTCATAGGGTAGGACCAAAGAAGAAGAACAATGAGGGGGGCTCTAACTGATAATGAACACAACTACAGGCTTGGAGGTCCTAACAGTCAGGTATAACAGGAACGGTTTGGGGGTTATAACAAGATGTGATGTATGACCGTGTTACGCTACCACGTGATGCGAAAGTCACAGACAAACTCGCGGATTCTTCCACTGACCGCAGCACACCTGCACCAGGGTAAACCTCCGCCTGCCCCACTCCTGCTGAACAGGTGAAAATAGAGCAACAGGACCGCTGAGTCTTTGACTTTATTTATTTTCTGCTGTGTTTTACTTGCATATATTTGAAAGAGTGAGTGTAAACACAAAAAATATTTTATTTTATGTGCTGGAATGTGCAGAAAATAAGTTTAAATGTTTCTTCCAGTCAGAGAATGTTGCAGATAATTTAATGTTTGCTTGATGCATAAAGTTAAAAGATTAAAACTAATAAAACATTTGATTACATTTTGTATGAGTGATTATGCAGAAAAAGTAGAATTGGGCTGAAAGATCTATCACTTTATCACCTATTCAGGTTGTAAATCGTGTTTTTAAAAAGTAACTAAGTAACTAATTACTTTTGAAAAGAAGTAATCAGTAAAGTAACAGGATTACTTTTTGGGGAAGTAATTAGTTACTGATTACTTTTTTCAAGTAATTTGACCAACACTGACTTTAAGAGAGGTCAGTGTTTCATGGTGAAACAAATGATCTGGTCTTCAGAACAGCCATCTGATCCCTCTGAT